GAAAAACAAGCATACAAAAAAATTACACCTTTGACATAATATTGAATTGCATTTTTTCCTTCAAGCTCTACATTCTATTTTGAATTTCGAGCATATTTTATATTATAGCTCCTCCTTCTGAAGGACAAAATGAAAAATATTTGATTGTATAAGATAGTGTTAAAAGATAAGTAATTTGCTGCTACAATTTAACTGACAGTAAGTTTCTCAATCCCACAAAATTACAGTAGGAGGAAATTTTATAAAAAGACTTTTTATATCTATTGCTCATATTAAAGATGAAAAAGCTTCATACATTTCTAAACAGACTGAGTTTTCCCTAATCTGGCATTTCATTCCAGATTTTGAAGTGAGATAATCTCCGATAATGTCTAAACAAACCTGTTACTTTGATTATCTGACTTCATCTGAACATTAGAACTATTCCGGACAAATGTATCTTGAACAATTTCCTAAGACAAACATATTCAAGTTTCCCTTATTTGAAGATTTTTTTCAGAAGATTTTTTTCTATACCAGTATCTGATTAAAGTGTTCTTAAGTCAAGCATTATTGATTTCCTTTAATTTTCCTCTCCTCCCAGAAATTGCTGGCTTATGATAAACTGAAGATAATTAAAAAAAAAAATGTAATGGACCTCCTAATGTACTTTGTTGGTCAAATCTTCTGTCAAGCTACTACTAGTGAAAATCTGGGGACAAATTCCTGTTTGCAGATCTTGGTTGTTCCCTGTTGTTACTGCTATTTGCTGTAATGACTGTGACATCTAAATCAAAGCCTTATTGAACCCTAAAGAGCACTCCTGCAGTGATTCATCATTGTCACAAAGTAGGCATAGGGCTTCTTTTTTAAGAGTCACTGTCATCACATATGAGTAGAACTGCATGTGACAGAACTATCAGAGAAAGAAAAAATACAGGAAATAACCATTCACCCTACTTGTTGTTTCAGTTCCTTGAGACAGCCTGGGGCAAGTTAGCCTTTATGTGAGGCAGTACTAGGTACATTGGATTGCAAACCTGATCTTCAGGTCAGTTTTGAATCCAGCTGGCTGATTTGTGCCATAAGCCACTCAGCTGGGTCTTAGCAGACCATGGCCTTCTGGCTTAGTTTTCACCAAAGAAATGGCAGGTGAGGTCAAACCTTCTGTTTTGAAGGTTTTGGAATATTTCTGGCTGCTGTTAGAGAAGCTGTTGCATTTCAATTCAGAGTACTAGCTGATGGAATTTCTAAATTGTTATGTGCATGCATGTACACAAACTGCAGTGCATAGCTATGGTGTTGGAGAAATCAGAAACAGTCTTTCTCTATACTCACTAGTAGAAGCACCCTAAAATCAAAAGTCCTGTCTGGAGGCAAAGTAACTACATCATAAGAGCAGAAACCAACAACCATTAAATAAAAAAAAAAAGGCTGGACTTCACAGGACACACAGCCTGTACACTGTAACACTTCCCATGATTATTAGAGGTCTCCAAATGCAGTGGTTAGTAGCAAACATCCTGCATACTAAGAAGTGACCACTTCTTACTTGCTATACCTGCTTCATGATTGCAAATGGACTTCTTACCTTTGCTGTTGAACTCTGATGCTTCTAAACTGCTACACAAAATAACAAAAGATTAGTCTCTGGTTAACTTAAACCATAATTAAATTTTGTCTACTATCAGAGGATAATTATAAACTCAGCATGACACACAGAGAACTATAATTTCACAGATGAAGAAAACAGGGAAAAAATATGCTGTGAAGGAGAAAAGCTGTTCACATTAAAAGAATGAGGATTAGAAGTCAAAACTCACCAAGTTGTTGGCAAAATAGATTGGTTTTAACACATCTCTTTCCCCACCTTTCCATCCACATGACAATCTTGTGTTCAATGTGTTAAAACTCAAAAGATCAGTAAGGTCTAGGAAGGAGCATGGCATGAGCTCAAAGCATACGGTAGCAATTGTCTTGTGATAAAACATCAAAGCTTGTTAATCAGAGAGGGTTTAGGCACTAAGAACACATTCATCCCTGCACTGCTGTGACATAATGAGAATTACCACACTGTACAAACACTTGTTTAGCATCTGAACTACTGTACTTTAAAGTGGAGACATAAGGCTGTTTTTAGGTCATTAAATAACATAATTGAGAAACAGAGTAGGTGCCCTGTTGAGTTATAATGAACTGTCTGTGTAATGCAATACATACAGAAATCCATACAGAACAAGGAGTAGTATTGAGCAAAATGTGCATTCAGACATGGTGATGTCAATCCTACTTCATCTTTTTAAGTATTTACAGAGTTTACAGAATTTGGAACTGATCAGCTGGTGTAATAGCAATATATTAATTTCTGCAGCCAAGTTCATTAGATTTGACTAGTGTTTGTTTTACAACACAAGATGAATTAACATATGTATCTGCGTAATGCTTGTTGTCTGCACTTAATGATAATGCATTGCATCAGCAACTTGAGGAAAAATACATTAAATGCAAACATACACACACAGAAGTGACAATATATTAATTGGCTGAAAGCAACTTGAAAATAAGAAAAAACCCAATTGCATAAATTATTAAATACTATTTATTTTTAAGCAATTCTATATTTCAGAATGAGGTGGTCTGAGACACTGAATAAGAGTTCAAGAAACTATGGGAAAATGGTTCAGCAATGGCATTAAAATTACCATTGCATAGAGAGAGGCTAAAAGTTCCTGGCCCAGATACCCACATGTGAACATATGGGTTCAATTCCAGTAGAAATTGTAAGAGAGAATTATTTTCTTTCCATCCACTTAGACTTACACAGGACTTAATGCAACACAAAATTTCTTTTTATAAAGGAGGACTGAGATAGCCATGTTATCTGCCTGTCTGAGGATCTGTACACACCCAGTGCCTTAGCTGTGGGAAATAAACAGGAACTGAAATAATCTCAATTTTTTCCAGACATCATCAGCTCATGAGAGTAGGACCTGACTTTTTTACTTTCAGTGGCCTCCAATGCAACTCATATTGTGACACTTTTTCTGTATGTAAGTCTCATCTCCACTTCAACTACATTTTACACAAATTTTACACTAGGATAGCAGTAGTTCTTTTAAAATAATATTAGAACAAAGTCTCAATGAAAATACTTCAACAGCAGTAGTGAGAGCCAAGAAACCCCAAAACTAAAAGGTTCCCACCATCACTGTTTGCTAAATATGTGCTTTATGAGCATGAATGACTGGCTTCTAAGCCTAGTAAATTGGAGTGCAGCATTCACAACTCCTACAAATCATCAAGCCAGTGGTTAGTTAAGTCTAGGACATGTTATCCCAATTTGTACTTTTAAAGAGAGTTATATTTCTAGTAATTGCAGAGAAGACAACAGTAACTTGACTTCAAATAAGAAATGAAATGCCCACACAGACATGAGAAAGGCAGCCTCCTTAAATTGCCCAGCACAGGATGTAAGGCTAATGACACAATCTTTGAGCTTTGGTACTCTCAGGCTTCAGTACTTCCCGAAACATATTGTTGCCAACAACTGCAAATAAACTGTAGGCAGGCAACCTGGCAGTGCCATGGCCAGAGATCAGACAGGGTGGAGGCTGGATTGGACTCCTACCAAATAGATGGAAAAGCAAAATTTGGGCAGGCACAACTTGCTAGAATTTCATTTTCTTGTGGATGTCACTTGGCTTTATCTTCCTTCTGATTGGAGGGGTTGTTTTGAACCAGAGAATGAAGTGATAATATCAGCAGGAAAAGATAAGGTATTGTCCAAAGGACTAATTGCACAGCTTGACTTTCTAATTTGTTAGAATAGATGAAAATTCCTCACAAAGGGGAACACAGGCTTAAAACTGATAGCAGATTTTTCTACCTCATTTTTGAATAATAACATGAAGTAGAGACAATTATTATGTAATTGTAGACTATTTGTTAGTCAAAAAATTAGTTGAACAAACTGTTCTTTCTATTACATAAGTTAAAGTTAAAATAAACATACGCACCCCATGGAAAATTATTGTTGAGGTATTTATGACTGAAGGATATCTAGTAAGTACTAAAAATAAAATGAAAACTCAATAACTTATAATCTCTCTTTTTAAATATGTAGCTACATGAAGAATGTGGTCCTTGGGCAACCTGGTATAAGATTGAGGTCAGCCCTGCTTTGAGCAGGGGGTCGGATAAAGTGATCTCCAGAGTTCCTTATAGCCTAAATAGTCCTTGAATTCTATCACATGCCCTCAATTAATAAGGTTATGTCAGACTTCTTTTAGACCTAAAAATCAATCTTAGGTCTAACAGCAGGAATGGGCTCAGACTTTAGTGGAAAGAAGTCCTTTCTGAGCACCACAGTTTATTCTCATCCTCAGGTTGCCTCATCTTCAGGTTGCTCCTTACTACCTAACCCTGTAATAGCACATGGTTTAAGCTTGCTCCTATTTATCTGCAAGCACCAAGTGGACGTGCAGCCCCTGAACAGTCTGAACCATAATGTAACAGGATCCTGTGTGACAAATAAAGGCAGTCAGAATGAGGGCACAGCAGGGAGCCTGTCCTCCCTCTTCTTCATTTCCCTTCAACTCAATCGCATGCATGTGAACACAACAGCACTCTTCCATCTGCTCAGGGAGCTGCTCTCTTCTCCTACCACCCTCCCTCTGCACACATGTGTGCTTGCATGTGGACTGCACACTCCAGAAGGCAGACACTGCTGGATTTTAATCCCCCCAAATTCTCTGATGGATTAAACCTCAAATCTCTAACTCTCCTTCTTTTAATGCTGCATTAAGTAACACACATATTGGTTACACTGATTTACGCCTGAAATAGAAGTGAAAGACAGACAAAATAAGATGTCTGAAAATCAATCTATGCTGCAAGTAGATGGGACATCAAAGCATTCTGGATTATTTTCTATACCCTTCACTTTGCCCAGCGCCTGATGAGACAAAAATGACTGTCTGTAGCAATAAAAGTTACAAGTACATGTGTTACCCTCCACTTACCTGTAACCCTTCAATGGCCAGTTTGAGGATAGATGGTGTAAGCTTGGAGGCTTGCTTGAAAGAGAAGTTGCTCCAGTCTATAATTAGAATGAAGCCATTTATCTGAAGCTCCTGATCTTCGATGAGCACTTCTAAGGAAAGTAGAATAGCCCGAAGGATATCTATGAAGGAGTTCCTAAAGCCAAAGTAGAAAAAAAAAAAATCAATGGTTGCAGTTATCTTCAAACCTCAAGATACTCAGCTTTGCTGTGGATGTGGCATGAGCGAGGTACAGGGATTCATTCTGGCAGAATTCTTCTGAAAAGAGAGTTGTTTCAGAGATGTCATTAAAGAGCTCCTGCTCTAAAACTCACATTTCCCTCCTCAGTGTGATAAATCTTGCTCATTGGTGGAAAAAATAAACACTGAATGAGATCTCCTCAATTCTTCTGGCATTCCTTACAATAGATTTTAGTTAAGCTACATTGGCAAACTACTTGTCTGTGGTGAAATGAAACAAATTCAGGCTATCAGTTTAAACTCTTGCTCGTTTGGATATACTTTACCATTTTTCCTTGTTCGTCTCCCTTCTTTTCAGAAAAGGGAATAAATGAGTACAATAAAAGTATAAAAGACATGGTTACAACTAGGTTCTGTGCCTTCCTGTTTGAGTGGAGGGAATAATCCAAGGCTTTGCACAATAAAGTTTGACTGTTGTCTTATTTCTGCAAACCAAATGCAACATGAAAAATGGTTGCACCCACTTAAAATGGGAACTCTTTATTAATTATCAGCTACAATAAGCTGGCTGCAAGGCTTCCCTCAGCTCTTGGAGAATAATTAAAAACCTTGGAGGCCATGAAGGATATAGCAAGTAATGGAGAAGAAAATGTTGAAATGTTTTCTTTAATGTCCAAGTCTGTACTGGGAAGCCTGGGCCGCTTTCTACTTCTCCCTCATGCATTTTACAAAACAGTTGGACACTTTAATGACTTAGTCCATGTTTACACCTGAGTAAGCTGAATCAGGCAGTTCTTCTCATCTGTCCTTCCCATTCAGATGATTTACAACAATAGATTCTTTTGAAGAACAAGAAATAAAGAAAGCTTCAGAAATTACAGCTTAACCTTGTCTAAAATGAAATTGTAACATACTGCTAATGCAATCTGCTTTACCTCTGCATAATTCTCTAGTTTTGATGAGGCCTGAGGCATCTTACAGGGAAGGTTCACACCATGTTCTCCCATGGAGATTTTAATTTAGTCCTTTTCTGCTGTTTTCTTTACTTTAAAACAAGTCCTCTAAGTCTTCAAGAGCATTGCTTCAAATTCTGCCTGAGATAAAAAACCTATGTGCAGTTGAAACTAACTTCTCTGCCATCAAGACCTCTACCCCTGAATAACATCAACACATGGTAAATCAGAGGAAAAAGGTGAAGTGTTTTCTTATTCTTGCTCTTTTCTCTCAGCATGCTTTGAGTGGAAATGTACGTTCTTTCTCTAAAGACCTGGTTCCTTGAAAAAGCTGCTTCTGAACTCTGCCTTTCTGTAAAAGTTAGAAGTTTCTCTGAAGTATAATTGCTGAGACAATAAATAGAGCTTCAAGATATTGAATTTTGTTGCTGCTGGGTACCAAATCACCCCTCCCTCATTTACAGTTACAGAACAACCTTGACCTTTTCAAATCCTGTGGGGAAGTTGTGCTAAACAGAAAAACTGAGAAAGTATTTCCTTAGCAATGTAAGGTGAAGGCATACTGATTGGACTGGCATTTGACATTTATTTTTAGTCTAAATTTATTTTGAAAAACTCTGATATACTACCTATTGCTCAGCTGAAAAAAATGACATCTTTCAAGCAGCATCATCAGATGACTACACTTTCAAACGTGAAAAAAATCAAATATACCCCTGGACCTATCTACTTAATATATCCTACACTACCCCAGCATCCCTCTTCAAGGTGGTCAGCCTTCCATAAGAAGTGTCCCACGGGAGCTCCCAGAGGTGTGCAGTAGCTCCAAAAGCATGCTCACACACATGCTTCTTTGCACTCTTATTGGCATCAGTGCAGAATAATATCATCATCCATGGATAGGCTTTCTGGCTACACTGGGGAAGATGGAATAATCCTGACTTCAATTTAACTATAATCCTAACTTCGATTTAGGTTGTGACCCTTAGAATGACCTGGATGTTTGTTATTACCAAAGGTGTGAAAACAGAGCCACACTGTGATAAGATTTCATTCTCCATTTGCAGGAAGAAATTTTCTTAAGAGTACATTCAAACTTATATTTATGATCCTGCTACCTCTAATGCTTTTAAAGCCTGCATAATTATTTCAGTAGGGCTATCTGGGAATGGTACATACAAAGCATCTTCTGTAGTCCACTTAAATTCTAAGTAACAATTAAACATTTGAGTGCAAAATCTTACCCTTGGACTCTATACTGAGAAATCCCAGTCTTTGTTTGTGTGTCTACATAAATTGCCAGTTTATCAAGCAATTACTCACCTGTACTTCCCTGTACTTTCAGTAGAAATTATTTACCTGGAAGATATGGCACCCAGTTTTCTTAGTGTGTAATTAATCTGTCTCTCTCCCTGCCTACAACCCTCCCTTCTCTATTTATTTGCAGTTTTAAGACATCATGTAGTAAATAACTCACTGTGAACACAAAGCTGTTTTTCAGATGAGTACAGGGAGACATGAAAGCAGCATACAAGTCCTCCAGGTGGTTTATTTGCAGACACACTGTTTTGTGAATGCAAAGTCTGGATAGAAATCAGACAGAGTGCCACTTGAGGCTGAAGCCCTCTGCTCCTTAATCTTTGGGCTTTGAGACAAATCATTCAGCTGTGTGACTGATTTGCATCCAAATAATTTTCTATGCATGAACACAGAACCACTTGCTTTAGTTTTTGTTCCTTTGCTTAATGTTCCTTTCCCTCCTTCAATCCCCTTCCTCACCAGTTTAACCCTCTCACACAGAAAAAAAAGCGAAACAAACTACTATTACACAAAAGGAAATGTGTAAGGTCCTGTAAGGATTCAGCATGGAGCTTACTGAAGTGAGCCACTAATGAGCTACAAAAGATTTGCACAAGCCTCAGAAAGACAAAAAGGAGGAGGGAGGGAGAGTGCCTATCTGCCTTGGCTGAATGGAAAGGTACCACAAAAGAGGCTCTTCAAATACCCTTTGGAAAATGGGAAGTTAGCCCAACAGAAGCTAGTGGTATGGAACAATAATGTAAAACAAAAATGAAGATGGTTTAGCTGAGGGATTTGGTGGGGAGATTAGCCAAAGGCATAACATGAAAACAAATAAGAAGAAATTACTTAATTATAAGAGGTGTAAGCAGGCTGTTGGAGAACCAAAAGGCTCAGTGGAGTACCAGGGTGCAATGGGAACAATTAAAGAGGATAAAGACATTGCAGGAAAATTAAATTATCTATTTGCATGTATCTACCACCAGTCATTTTGAAGAGATACATAAATAATAAAGCTGAGGGATGGTTGGGAAATAAGGGGTCAAGTAAGACGCTGAAAGAAAGTGATACATTTTGGAGAAGATAGTTTCAGTAAAGGCTTTTGACATTACTATTTCTGAATAGTTAAGCACAAGCTCTGTTTTATGCATGCTAGTGAAATTAATTGGATTATTCAGACAGTTAAAAATATGAAAGTACAGAAGTAGTGGCAGCTGAAGCCATTAAGATTGTCTGGTAGTAAGCAAAAACAAACTGTCACTGCAAATACCAACTGTCCCACAAGACAGCAGGCTAACAAATTCTGGACCACTGCCGTTATCTTGGCGGTTGCAGACAACTCATCTGAACATCCCTAAGTTAGTATGCAGTAAGAGCCTCTCTAATACTTAGAAGTTGGACAAAGCTCAATAACATTTAGTGAACTGTAAACATGGCATAGATACAAATCAGGTAAGAGACCACATCTCACTTTTTTCCCTTCCCACACAAAAAATCACCAACAGAGAGCAAAAATGCACACATAGTTTCTAAGTGGGGAGAGCTGGCACTGCCCTGCAAGTAGGATTCCTACTGTGAGTAAAGCACAGAAGAGGAAGCAGAAAGAAAGACCAGAAAAACATCTTCAGATTGCCCAAAATTATTTGAGCTAATCAGAGCTCAAGAAGCTGGCTGCATTTTGAGTTCTGCATTCAGTTTTGGCCCCTCACTACCAGAAGGCCGTTAAGGTGCTGGAGCGTGTCCAGAGAAAGGGAACAGAGCTGATGAAGGGGCTGGAGCACAAGTCTTGTGGGGAATGGCTGAGGGAGCTGGGCGTGTTTAGCCTGGAGTGAAGGAGGTTCAGGTAAGACCTTATTGCTCTCTACAACCTGCCCAAAAGAATGTTGTGGCAAGGTAGGAGTCAGTCTCTTCTCCCATGTAACAAGTGATAGAACATGAGGAAATGGCCTTAATTTGTTTCAGGGGAGGTTTAGATTAGATATTATGAAAAATCTTCTCACTGAAAGGGTTGCCAAGCACTGGAAAAGGCTTCACAGAGAAGTGGTTGGGTCATTTTCCCTAAAGGCATGTAAAGATGTGTAGATGTGGCTCTTAGGGACATGATTTAGTGGTGCACTTGACAGTGCTTGGTTAATGGTTGGACTCGATGATCTTAAAGGCGTTTCCCAAACCTAAATGATTCTGTTATTCTATGAAAAGCTTAGAAAGAGAGACACGAGCAACACAGCAGATCAATGCAGGTGGAGGAGAGAGAACCCAGGAAGAAATATTTCTAATTGTTCCCACACACAGCCAAGGTATGCTATTCATGGAAAACCCCTCAGAATCCAGTCAGCACTGGTTTTTGAACAATAGAAAGTCCCAACGTCCATTAATGTGTTTTTGGAAAAACATTTGCATTTTTTTAATGCATGCATTTATTTCAGAAGATTAAACCTCGCCTCTGCTGAAATAAGTACTGGAAATTACTAACATACAGTCCTTGGGGATTCATGTCTTGATTCAAACTTATGATCATGAGTAACTACCCTGACTCTTTGGTATCACAGGGAAATGGCAACCTCTGTAAGACCCGATCTTCACATCTTATGACCTTCTGGTGAGGAAAGGACCCTCATATGAACCATACACAATGCAGGGCAGCCCTTGGCTAAAGAATAACCAGTAAGAGTAAGTTCAAAATGAAGAATCATGAATAAACATA